GTTGAGATTTAAATTAATTTGTTTCATGGTTAAACGCAAGAAAATGAGTGCTACTATTCAGGGTTATTCGACATCTCCAGAGCAACTGCAGAATAGATAAGAATGTTATAAATACGAAAAAGGCAGAAGCAGCAGAGGGGGTGCCAAAAGAACCACTACACCTAACAACATACTGACGTTAGTTAGTAGATACTAAATGTAGAAAGATTGAGCAGACTTTTGGTTTTGCTGGGTGCTTATTTTGTATAGAAGTTTCCTTAAGGTGTATCACAATCTCGAGTTTTAGTTTCAGCATGCGAGAAAATACAAAACACATATTTACACACATTTAAGCATATTTACTTTTTCAAAATGTATGCTTAATAATGATTGTGACAGAAACAGTTTCCTTAGAGCACAAATGTTCTGCCATAAGAGTTTTTGCATCACTTCTTTCATTCCCTACTCTCTTATTAGTTTACTCAAAATTGCCACGTGACTTTCGGAGTTGTGAGTCAGCCACTGCAGCTCCTAACAAAACATAGGTCGCTAATATTTCCATAAATCTGGCAGATCCCCTCCGTCTTTGGGCAGATGGTGGGATATTTAGCGGTGGTCCTTGGGATGCAGAAGGGGGAGGCCTGTGTTATCGTGGTGCAGTGCTGCGGCAGCGCTGAGTGTGCAGTGTGAATATGTGTGTGTGCGTGTGCGTGTGCGTGGAGGGTGGGCACATGTGAATCAACGTGCACTCGCGTCAATGACAAATCCCTTACTCAGAGTCATAACAGAAAGCTTAAATCACAACACCGGCTGCTGGCGGACGTGACGCAATGCACCTGCTGTTCACATGCGCTCTATAGTATTTATGACTTTATGAATATGTCCCATACCCTGAGTCCCCTGCGAGGCTAAATCTGGCTTCAATCAAAAACTCTCCACACCGAAATGCCAACTAATTAACCTTTATCTTCCGCCGAGAGGAAAACAAACAGAAGCAAAACGGCATCAATTCATACCTCAATATTAGTCAATTAGCGGAGCAGGTTACATGCTCCGTGCGCCGCAGCAGATGTGCCACATGTAAATTGGTTTAATTGTGTTACCCACAGTAATTAGATGTTACAAACATGATTACCACAAACACAATAATCCTGCATCAGACGTCAAACACATCTTATATTTATGTATATGTTAATTGTACATTACACGCTAGAAAAGCACTAGTAGAGCACAGACCTCCGGAAAAAGGCAAAGTTCTCATTCCTGAGAAAACATTTTTTTTTGACCACGATCAATATTAGCTTAGAGTTATATGGTAAAATAACAGACAGACAAACAAAACCATGGTGGTTACATTACACCCTTAGCGGAGGTGATAAACCAGCTGCTAAATATAGTCCAGTGTTTATACTCAACCTAACAGACGAATGAGTTAGCTAATTAGCAAACATCCTACTTGCAATGAACAAAACAGAATAGGACTAGCATTACAAGTTGCAGCCGGTTGGCCCCTTCCCGTCATGGCCTCAGGTATATTGGGATGTTCCTGCCTTAGAGCGCAGCAAAAGTTGGCAAAACTGGAATAATGCAAATAAACAAAAGGATGAGGCGATCCAACGCTTTCGATCACGTGACAACAGCTGACTCAGCATGTGAAGAAAACCATTAGAATGTGTTTTATGACTGTTTAATTTAACCACGTTTTTCCAGTACGTTAATAACCAAATAAAAAGTCTGCATAGTTTTGAGAATGAAGCACATTTCCACAAAGTAATGAAATAAAGTAACAATATTAATCCAGATAGGTAACTCAATTGTGAATAAAACATACATTAATCTTCACTGTTCAGATCATAAAGGAAAATATACCACATTTTAATCGAAACACCGCCTTCCATAAGTGTGTTATTAGTTTTGGCATATGTTACTGAAACCCAAACTAACTACATCAAACAAACAGCATTAGAAATCAAAATGTCTAGACTGTCCTGGTTTGTTTCTAATATTGTCCTAATCATCTAATAATAATCGTATCATATGTAATCATTGGTCAGCTGTTCCGAATGTTAGCAGCCACATAGACTGCACTCTTGACAAGATGCCGACAGTCATTTGGCCTAGTTCTACATAGGAGTTGAGTTACTGAGTGAGTCTTCTGACAACGAAACCACAAGCCTCCTCTGCACCTCTCAGACACGCACACAGACACACACACACACACACACACACACACACACACCCACACACACACACACCCACCCCCTGTACCCAAGAGGCCCATGATTATATAGTGTGGTTTCCCTTAAGTGACGGTCACCACAAAAGGACGTAAACAAAGTGTATCTAGTTTGTTGTGTATCCAACTTGTTGAAAGCAAAAAGACAAAACATGTGGCTGTTCCTCAAAGTCCACACTTCTGTCTCAAGTCTGAACGTCTCACTCACTTTTTTGAAGGCAGACCTAGTTAGAAAAAAGCTGATGACTGTTTAACAAATGTTTAAGTTACAAAAGTGGTTGTGTCTCTGTGTCTCGGGGTGAGAGCAGTGGCATTTTGGAGGCAGAAGAATATAAATTACTCAACTAAATGAAATAAAAACTGTTTTGATTGTGTACATGACAAGAGCAACAGTGGAAATTTGATTGTGTATGTTTTGTACCGTTTACTATTGGAATTCCTAAAAAGTCTATTGCTAGAAAAAGCACCAGAGTTTGAGAAACACACTTGAAACTGAATAATAAACAAATATCTGTGTATTATTATAGTAATTCATGTATTATCAATCAACAAAGTCTCACAAGGATAAAGTGCTTTAATCCAGTTTCTATTTCATTAAAGATGAATAAGTCAATGACTCTTCTCAACATCTCTGTTGGCTCTGAGTGAGAGCCATTACCGCTGCAGCTTGCAGAGACCTGTCCGAGGCTGCAACCGACATTAAGTTTAGTCCCCGCCCACTGGAAGAATATTCTCCAGACCGACACGTGCAAGACCCTGATAAAGACCCCAGAAAACAACCACACTTGATAAACCCAGAGCAAACAGGTTTTGAACAACTCAACCAAACCTGTAAAGAAAGAATGTTATGGGAAGTGTCTCATTTCTCCACTTTCAATGACATGATATTCAGCAATAATTCTAAAGCACACATTTAGTTTTTTTGTTTTTCTAGTTATTTATGTTAAACAACCTTAAAATGAGACACTACTTTTTTTAAATGACTGATGAAACATGTGCATGTACTGTTTCTGAAAGATGCTTAGGTCTGTTTTCTCTGTCCTCTCGGTACAGGAACATTTTGTTTTATGTTTTGTTTTGTATCAACTGTGGTATTTAATTTGAGACATTTGTGTGTCAACATTTTTCCTTTGATAATAATGTAGTTGGAACTTGTGATAATGGGTGTGACGGACAAGAAAAACAGAAGAGCAAATATAACAAAAGTGGAATGTGGGCTTGGCTTATGCAGAAATGTTTCGTGGTAAACAACAAAATGTCGAAAAGCACTTTAGATAATATAGTTATAAAAGGGACATAACAGTGTGGACTCTTAGAAAAGCGATGGATGGAGACCCACAAAATCCGATCTTTGAGAAAGCTGTAGGTTCCCCGTCACTGTCACCGTTTTTGTTAACACTGAGGTCTATAAAAAATGTCCAAAGGCGCGGATGGTTCACCACCATGCTAAAGGCTGGCGTGAGCTAGCATTAACCAGAACTAGACAATATAATACATCTATGCATCTGACTCAAGGTAAAGCTCACTGGACTAAAAAGATGCATTAGCTACTGTGGGAAAAAAAGTTCATATTTTTGCATAATTAACCTTGTAGTGTGACCCAGTGGCTGTAGGAGAGGACCTTTGAGGCTTTTGATCATGCTTGTGTCTATAGTGTCTATAGCAGGGGTGCCCAAACCTTTTGCTTCCAAGGGCCAAAGTAAAAATTTGCCAGTCGGCCGCGGGCCAAATACACCGATATTTCGCATGAAACAAAAATAAATGTAGATTTGATCAAGTTCAATTAAATGCATTAATTATTGTCTATCAGTGCAAATCACAGCTGAATGAATGAAATCAACACAGTCTTAGTGAAGTGGAGGCTCCAGGGAAATATGCAGGTTTGAGGAGACTACAGTACGGAAAGATTCCGGCAGGGTAATCAGGGTCCAGAGGAGGGAGATTTTCTGTCATGGCTTATTTACAGCTTAAAATCATATAAAAAACCTCTAAAAGAGAACAGAAACATACATTTTCTATGTAACTAAACTGTTTTTTAAATGCCACTTGTAAACAAATAATGTTCCTGCTAGTAAATGAAAGTACTAATTTATATTAAATAATATCATACTCCCAAATTAAATAATCTATATTTTTAACCTGCTCATGTCAGTAAACTGTTTGTTGAAGACCTTTTTCTAAACAGTTTTGCATTACTATATAGTGATTTATAATGTATAGGTTTATTGTACTAGCAAATGACATTTACTTTACAAAAGTAAAGTCTATTTTCATATATTTATTTTGAACAAAAGTTTTTAACTACATTTGAATCATATTACTTTATCTTAGCTTTTATCAAAAAGGGGAGACATCACTGATCAGTAGATCTGGTTTTAGCACACTTTTAAACAATACATTTTAACATTAAGTAATGAATTTGGGAACATAATTGCTAACTGCATTTTCTAAACATGATCATGTTTTAACTCTGTTTTAACTTAATATTTTTAACATAGGACAAGTATTCTCAATCAATGAGAAGGAAACATGGCCGCCGGGGTGCAGCCACAGAGTCTGGCAGGTCCTGTGTGTCTGCCACAAAAATATATTAATAACCCTTGGATTTTGCCATGTTTGTCTGGTCTTCTCCTGTCCTTCTACCTCCTCTTGAGCTTAACATGTCCAAGGAAAATGGATAACTTAACTCTCTATCCAGCAAAGAGGAGCCAACATCTTCTGTATGCAAGAATCCTGGATTGTGGACATGCTAGGCCGCCCCCAGGTAAACATGATCAAACAGCATCTAGATCACTCCTGGGGGTTGTGAATCTTTTGATGATAATACTTCTGGCTGGTGATGTTGAGCAAAACCCTGGACCTGTTTTAAGTTCTGTGCCACAGCTACAGCAGCTCCCTGGGCTAACTCCACCACTGGTTCCTGGGCTGCAGCAGCAGCTCTCTGGGCTAATTCTCCCACTGCAGCAGCTCCCTGGGCTAATTCCACCACTGCTACCTGGGCTACAGCAGCTACCTGGGCTAATTCCACCACTGCTACCTGGGCTACAGCAGCTACCTGGGCTAATTCCACCACTGCTACCTGGGCTACAGCAGCTACCTGGGCTAATTCCACCACTGCTACAGCTACAGCTGCTACCTGGGCTAATTCCACCTCTTCTACCTGGGCTACAGCAGCCCCCTGGGCTAACACCACCACCACTGCTACCTGGGCTACAGCAACCCCCTGGGCTAACACCACCACCACTGCTACCTGGGTTACAGCAGCCCCCTGGGCTAACACCATCACTGCAGGACTCCAGTACAACAGAGCTCAGTAGGTCACCACAACCCACTGCACCCCTGCGAACACAGAGGAACCCTGTATTCAAAAAGCATCGATCGTGTAAGTTATTTCAGACTCTTAATCAAGCCAGGACTATATGGGATCCACAGTGTAAAAACAAAGGGCTCCTAGGTGGCCATCTGAATATACGCAGTATGGCCCCTAAGAGGGAACAAATGGAGCATCTTCTCATTAACTCAAATATAGATTTCATGGGACTTTCAGAAACTTGGCTCAAACCCTCTTCCCCACATGCACTGGTAACATTACAAGGCTACAATGTGTTTAGAAATGATAGGCATCAAGGAAAGGGGGGAGGGGTGTTATTGTATATGAAGGACTCTCTAAAATGTACACAAGTAATTTGGCCTACTGAAATTCCAATTGAATGTGTTGGAGTTAAAGTGTCCCTCTCAGCAGAAATGTCATTTACTGTTTTATGTCTTTATCGCCCGCCTTCAGCAAAAGTAGATTTTTATGACCAATTTAAGGCACTTCTGAATTGTTGTGACTTTAATAATGAAGTTATTCTAATGGGAGACTTGAATGTAAATTGGGATCACAAAAGTGATAGAAAGAAATTGAAAGAAATTACAGATAATTTTGGTCTAACACAAATGATCAGCGATCCTACTAGAATAACAAATTGCTCTAAAACTCTAATAGACCTGGTGTTCACTAACAAACCAGACAGAATGATAAAAACATATAATTTCTTGACTGGCTTGTCTGATCACAATGCCATATTCTTCTCTAGAAAGTTAACTAAAAAGCGACTGAGAAGTGTCAGTAAAAACACTAATATAAAACAAACATTTATTCCAAAAAGCCAAGTACAACGTTTAACTGCAGCTCTAAATAATCTTGATTGGTCCAGCATACTATCCTGTGACGACACTAATAAATGTTGTGATCTACTATACTCCTCTATTAAAGGGGTTTTGTCTCGGTTTCAGAAAGAGGGTTATTTAAAGAAACGAGTTTATTCCTTGCCTTGGATCAATAGTGAGTGTAAACAGCTTATGAGACTCAGAGACAAATTACTTAAAAAATCATTACAATCTGGATTAACTACTGATCGATTAAATTTTATATCGGCAAGGAATAAAGTCATCCAAACTTTGAAAATGAGAAAAGCTAATTTTTTCATGACCATAATTAATAGTGCCAAAGGAAATTGTAAGCAAATTTGGGAAAATATTAACAAACTCCTTGGTAAAAGTAAGCACGATGCTGATAAAGACCTTGAACTCAAATTTGGCAATGAATTGGTATCAGAGCCTCTCAGTCTAGCAACTAAATTAAATGATTTTTTCCAAAGTACCATTAATGATATTGCGCAACTGTTTTCTAATTCTTGTGACTCTCAACAAAATATTGGCAACACCAACTCCCATATGGATGCCTCAACTCAAAATTCAAAGTTTAATATCCCAAAAATTACAGAATATGAAGTAGAAAACATAATCTCTAAATTGAAAAGTTCTAAAGCAAGGGATGAGGGTGGATTTGATACTAATCTTCTGAAAAATTATAAACCTTGTATCTTGGTGCCTGTGACCCATCTTATTAATTTATCAATCTCGCAGGCAGTCGTTCCTCTGAGTTGGAAAGTGGCAAAAGTGATACCAATCTATAAATCAGGTGATAAATCAGACCCTGCTAATTATCGACCTATTAGCATACTCCCTATCTTCTCAAAAATAGCAGAAAAGTGGGTTGCTAACTCTATTATCGAACACCTTAATGATTCCAATCCAGGTCTGCATCCTATGCAATTTGGATTTCGATCTCTTCACTCAACTGAAACAGCTGTCTGTGTTTTTGTTGAAAAGGTGAAGTCTTATCTAGACAAAAACAGTTATGTTGCGGCTGTTTTTATTGACTTTAAGCGTGCGTTTGATACTGTGAATCACCTTAAGCTCTTGTCCAGACTGTCAACATTTAACCTTAGTAATCAAACCGTTGAATGGATACAGTCTTACCTATCAGATAGAAAACAATGTGTGCAAATAAAGAATAGTAAGTCACCCTATCTTTACTATACACAGGGTGTCCCTCAGGGATCAATTTTAGGTCCCCTGCTATTTTCACTTTATGTAAATAACTTGCCTAACGTATGCAAAAATGTGGACACGATTATGTATGCCGACGATACGGTAATTTTTACACAAGCCAAAAGTGCTGATGATGCAGCCCATCAGCTCTCAATAGCCTTAAATGATCTACAAAAATGGCTGAATGATTCATGCCTGTGCCTTAATGTTAAAAAGACTGTATCAATGTTTTTTAGTAAACCTAAAACAACAGTGGCCGCAGTAAAAGTTTTCTTGGGTGGACAAGAATTAACTAATGTTGAGGAATTTAGGTATCTAGGAGTGCTAATAGACTCAAAATTATCCTTAAAAAAACACATTAAAAAAGTAGTGAAAACTGTAAATGTTAATATACGGAACTTCAGACATATTCGAACATCATTAACGGATACAGCAGCGATTACATTCCTGCACTCTATGATACTGGCTCATATTGAGTATTGTATCACAAGTTGGTCCTATACGAGTCATGCTGCTATTGGGCCAATCGAAGTATGCTACAAAAGAGCATTGAAAATATTAGACAAGAAACCTTCATCATACCACCATTGTCAAATTTTAGATAAATATAAGTTTTTAAACTTTGCTAATTTTAAATTATTTAAATCAGCCTGTCTAATCTACAAGGTCATACATGGTCTGGCGCCTCCACCATTGAGTGATTTTATTAAACAAAAGTCTATCAGTGCCGGGTCTCGAGTGACTCGAGCCACTGTGAGAAGTGATTGTGAATTGTCATTTAGGCGGACCAGCTTTTCACAGAATGTCCTGTCATATCAGGGAGTGAGCTTCTGGAATAGTATTCCACTGTCTGTGAGGGAAAGCACAAGTCTCCCTACCTTTAGGAGTCATTTAAAAAGTGTGGCTGAGGGACACACAAACATGTGATCATGTTTAGTTAATGATGATGGTTACAAAAGGGGATGCAATTATCAGTGTCATACGGGCTGTGCAATGGGAGTCTGTTGGGCATGGGTTATACAATGGGGGTTAGTGTAATGCGGGTCAGTGCAATATGGGTCAGTGCAATATTGGGTCTGTCAGGTTATGTGCAATATTGGGGTTTGTGCAATACAGTCGATGCTTTCCCGTTACTGTTTTTCTATATTGTCCTTTGTTGTCCACTATTTTTATTGTTTGTTCTAACAAGTGATCACTGTACTCGTCCTTGTCTCTCTGTACATAGTCTGTATATAGTGTCTCTGTATGTTTTTACTAACCTATGCTTAACACCAACCTGCCAGGGGGTCTGCAGATGGAAATTAGCCTAAGGCTATAATCTGGCATATTTACATTTGTGAAAATGTTCATTAATATGTATTGTCCCTCCTTTTCAAATAAATAAATAAATAAATAAATTAGTTGTGAACTGAATATTAAACTAACGAAATCAGACTAGTTAACCCTGATTTGTTCCTGGAGTTTGTTTTGTTTTGCCTAAACACAGTACAACATTTATAAACAATCAAAACAAAGTAACTGTTAAAGAGTCCGTGTTTCCGCTCCTCCAAAGGGCTCTTGAACGCATCATAAAACTCCGCGTAAGTTCTGACATTCAATGATCGCGAGTAGGCCTGTCGCGATAGTCAATAAATCAATTAATCGCACGATAAATAAAATTTGCTCAATAACTTTTCTGGCCGCGATAAATCCCATTTGCAGCTTGTTTGTTTCCCCCGTCTCTCTCTCCCCCGTCTCTCTCGGGTCAGAGAGCCGCAAAGTGGTCACGGGAACATTAGCGGTCTAGCAAGCAGACGGAAATTACTCAAAAATACAAAATACAGCCAAAACAGGACCTAAACCAGGACTTAACCAGGATTGACAATGGGGGACACAGTAGTTGTGAACATATGCCGGCAGCTGAGTTCTCATTCAGGCTTGATTAGTGACTATACTAGCGCAGCTAGCGTTAGCGTGTTCGCCGATGCAGAAGTACCGTACCGTACCAATAAAATAAACTTATGGCGCACCTCCGTGAACACATACTGCTGTTATATAAAGTCTCTAGAAGGTCTCTGAACACAGAGATGCTGCAGACTTGCATTCTTGGAGTAGAACTTTACACAAAAAACCCGCTAGCTTAGCTGTTAGCATCAAAGCCCGCCCCGCTACTTCCGGTGGGCGCTACCGCAGCAGGACTTCTGTACGCCCCATTGGTAAACCTACATGTCAGTTACTTGTCATTCGCCTGGTGTGTGGGGAGGTGGGACTACTCCTGAGAGATCCTGTCTTAAGCCACACAAAGTCAACATGTTGGTATTTCTTTCTTGTAATCTGTCATAAAGTCTGAGAAATTATTGACATTTGAGGCATCTGTTTCATATTTTCTTTACAAAGGTCCTGGCAGTTTTATTCCTGGTCATTTTTTGTTAAGAGACTGAGTCTATGTTATTTATTGTTTTTGGTTGTTTGTTAATTTATTGTGTTCTAGCGTTAAATATTCGTTAAAAATAAAAGTTTATTCTCTTTGAAAAGGTGTACCTGCATTATCATTCTAATCGATGCAAATGATCTCAGAACGACAATATAATCGCTTATCGCAATAATTTCTGAGACAATTAATCGTCCAGCAAAATTTGTTATCGTGACAGGCCTAATCGCGAGTGAGGACGGCGCTTACCGGCTTCTTTCATGGGGTTGTAGAAGGGTTTGTTTTGCGCGGTATTTGTTGCTTCTACTTACGTGGATCGTGCGCTGCGATCCCTGCTTGTCCTGCTTGAACTCACTCTGAAGTGTGTGTGTCCGTCTTTTTTAACACACCGGGTGGGTGCGGATTGCGCGGGTGAATAGTTCCACTCGCCAATTCCCTCCGGTGAGGAGGGGGAGTGGCAGTTCGCCAGCACAATCCTCTCAATTTGATAAAAC